CTTAATATAAAAATCATATTAACTGTTTAAAAAAAAATTTTTTTATCCAATCAAATCTCATGTTTTTTACTCCCCCCATGTTTAGAGTTGCAGAACATTTATTAGTGTTATGTTAAACAGAGAATCAAATTGGGGTGGCCTAATTAATAATTACACTATTTACAAATCAAATATCTACAGATTTTTCTATTTATATAGTTTGTAGAAAAATTAAGACTTAACGTCTTAATTTCTCTTGCAATTCTGTTGTTAATGATTGTAACCATGATGGTTAATGGGTTATTGTTTTCTCCCCACTTGGTGTTGGTATATCGGCACCAAATTTCATAGATCGTAATTATATTTAACCACTGCACTATTGCATGATATCATTTTTGTGTAATGTTAGATTTTGTAAGAATATCTTCTATGATACTTGGAATTTCTGGAGTTGGTTGTATTCTGAGAAATTTGTAAGCTTCCTTCCAAATAGTTTTGCTAACTCTGCACTCTACTGCAAAATGCTCTGGGGTTTGTAGCTCATTTTCGCACCAGGAACAGTCCCTCGATTCAAGCGGAGATATATGTTATAGTCTGTAGCCTAGAGGTAAAGCTCTGTATGAGAGTTGCCACAAAATGTCCTTTTTTTTGTTGTCTATCCTCTTACAAAGAGTCTATTTAGTTGGTGTGCTGTTGGCCAGAATATGAGTGGGAGAGGTTAAATGTGTGGATTCTCTTAAGAAGTTTACTATATTTTTGACGCAAAATTCATCCCCTTTTTTCCCTCCTAGTAAAATTTCTTCTAGATGCCAAGGCCAAGTTGTGTTAGAGGATATTGTACCTTTTGCTTTTTTCCATACCATTATATATAGTTTCTATTCTGTAGGCCAGGCCTTGGTTCTAATTGTGTGCATTGTTAAGGCTTGTAATATTGTAATATTTCTTTTAGATTGTAATGTTTCTGATAATCTTTTTCGTTCTATTTTTGCTCATAGTATGTTTTCTGAAAGAAGTTTAGTTAATACTGATAGCATTCTGGCTTCTAGCATATTTCCTATAATTGGAGCTTAGAGACCTCCTTGTTCATATGAGAGTTGGAAAGTTGCATATCTGGAAAGCATTCTTGAAGATCCTTTAACCCAGTGTGTTATCAAAGAGTTTATTTCTGAAACCTGTTTTTTGTTTGGGTGAGGATATAGGCTGTGTACCAAATCTGAGAAATTATTAATGAGTTTGCAATTAAAATTCTTTCTTTAAAGGAGAGGTTTCTTAAGGCAAGGTTGTTTAGTGAGTTTTTGAGTTTTGTAATTGTGGATGGCCATAGGTCTTTTTTACGTTGCCCGTTTGGGTATATTTCATATTCCAGTAGTGTGAAGGCATTTTGTTCTTTAACGATTTTATAATTGTCTATGTCTGGGAGATTTGCTCTTCTTGCTATTGTTGTTAGTGGGATTACTTTTGTTTTTTGCTTATTTATTTTTGCATTTGAAGCTTTTTCATACAAGTTGAATAAGTTTTGTATTTCTATCCAGTCTGCTAGACTTCCCACACCTATAGTTAGATCATCAGCATATGCAACCAATTTGAAGACCAAACTTTGAGAGGGAATGCCCTGTATATTTTTGTCAATTGCTTGTAACATTGGTTCAAAAGCTAAAACATATAGTAAAGGGGAAAGAGGATCATCTTGTCTGACTTTTCTTTTAACTCTAAATGGTTTTGAAAGTAGACCTGATTCAAAAATATGCCTTCTGATTGTTAAATAGGTTCTTGATTAATTTTCTAAATTTTAAATTAAAGTTCATTTTTTCAAGTACTAATTGTAAGAAATCATGGTTCACTCGATTAAATGCTTTTTGTTGGTCTACTAATAGAAGCTAGTGTTGTTTGGTGATGTCCTTCTAATCTCTCATTATAGTGAGAACATCAAGAGCAGCATCTGTAATTGATCATTTGGTGATGAAACCTTGTTGATGTGTTGGGATTATTGAGGCACAAATTCTATTTAGTCTGGTGGCAATGATCTTCATGAAGATTTTAGTATCGCAATTTACTAGTGAGATAGGTCTCCAGTTATCTATATTATCTAGGTTTGAAGCCTTCTTTGGGATAAGTATTATTAGATGTGCCATGACTTAGGTAAGATGCTCAAGTTGAGAATTTGATTAAATATGATTTCTAGAGCAGCACAATGTGTTCCTCAGTTTGTTTGTAAAACTCGTATATGAGACCATCTATACCTGGTGATTTATTATTAGGAAGATTTCTAATAGTTTCTATTATTTCTTCTTTTGTAATCTCCTGTGATAAGGCGTCATTATCTTGTTATAAGGTGGTCAGGAGAAAGTTTGTTAGCATATTTGCTGTCTCTAGGTCTATGTTCTCTTTTTTATAAATCTCTGTGTATTGTTCTTTAATATATTGTAAGACTTGATTATTACCAGGTTGTGCTAGTCCCTCTTAAATTGCAATATTTTTGAGAGCTAAAGAGTTGGATTGGGCTTTGAATCTTGAAAAAAAGTATTTAAAACTCAATAACTCAATCACAAAACTCTTTCCGGTTTACCCCTGGAATTTATTAAAAAACAAAATTTTAACAAAAAACAACAGGCTTTTTACAAAAACTCCAAAGTCGATAGGGCCAAAGCTCTTATTCTGAAAAAAAGGAAACTTGTCCTGACAAATATGGGCAAATACCAAAACAAAAAAGCTAAACTTTCTGGTTCAAAAGAGAAAATTTTTACTTTTTCTTCAGAAGAAGCAAAAAATACAAGAGTAGTAGCAACTACAGAGGAAGTCAATAATGCTAAAAATAGTCCAGAACTAGATAACCAAACTGTTATCTTGAATAGCAACTCTTTTATTAACTAGGCAAATAATACTAAGAAAGAACTACAAAACTGCATCACTAAGGAAACTACTCTCCTAGAGCATACAAACCCATATGTAGACTCAGAAGAAACAACAAACACGTCACGTCTTGAAAACAACAACAATACCAAGGAATACGTGTTGAGTGAAAACAACAACAATTACACACATGATGAGTACCAAGCTACCAACTCAGGGTCTGGAGCTATGGACCCAGAACTGCAGCCACATGATCAAGCAGATGAAGCTAAGAACAAAACTTCTAGCTCAGGAAAGTTTATACAATGGTCTAACTTATTTCCTAAGCTCAAAGGAGGAAAAGCAGCATTCTCTAAAGCATCTTCAAGACAGAGAATACATACCAAAAATAAAAATGCTCTGATTTTAGATATACAAAGCCTAATCAATATTAGTACTAACGACATCATAGCAGCTTTAGCTGCAAAGCTAGGAAGCAATCTTCTCGCAGCAAAGGTATATATAACAAAGAAAAAAAGATTTTTCTTAAAAATTATTTTAAAAGACAAAGAAAAAGTACAGCAATATGTCTCTGAGGGTATTAGCCTATTCAAACAAACCCTTTTTGGTTATATTCCAGTTAATATTAGAAGGTCCTTCCTTATAGTTAAGCTTTGGAGCACCCCAATAGGTGATGCCAATACAATAGGAGACTTTATTCTAGAAGCATTTAAAGATATAGGACAAGTAGTCTTAATAAAGCCACTTTTCTTCGAAGATACTACAGTGTGCTCAGACCAATGGTTAATAACTTTTGAAACTACTAAGGATACTGAACTAGCAACTAGACTTCCCAGAAGTACACATATCAATGATCACAAAGTCTCTATAGACTGGAAAGAAGCCCCAAAAGTCTGCTTTTTCTGTAAGAAGGAAGGACATATCAAAAAAGATTGTGAAGAACTGAAAGCTTATATCAGAGTTAGACAAGAACTCAAGAAAGCCAGAGCTCAACTAAGGCAAATGACTACCCAAAAACTATCTTTCACAGATCTAAAAATTAGTGAAAACAACCCTTACACTAAGTCAGGTATCAAGAAGATGGAAATAGAAACAAACTCAATTTCTAGCAGAAGTTCTACTCCAGTGCCAGAAATTTCTAATAAAACTAGTAATGATACAGAAGCTTTAGTAGATAAAATGATTATTGAGTCTACAATAAAGAACACAACAGACATACCAAACGAAACTACTCCTAAAGCTATTTCTTCAAACAATAATAGCATGACAGAATCAGAGGATCAAGACCCTAACGACCCTCCATTTACTACAGTAGTCTCAAAAAAACAAAAACTCAAGAATAAGAAAAAAGGTCTTGGTAATAGCTATCACCTCTATAGAGGATCAGAAGGTTCACAAAAAAGTGGACTCAGAACTAAACACTAAAAAAGAGGAGTTAATCAGTGTAGCACAAACCCCAAATTTATTTCACATGATTAAGATCGCTACACTCAATGTAAAAGGTCTAAATAACAGACCTAAAGCACAAAATACTCTTACTCTTTTAAAATCCTATAATTTAGATGTTATAATGCTACAAGAAACTAATTTAAAAGACTATAAAACAAGAAATTTTTTGGCACAACAATGAGGCTTTGACTCATTCTGGCCATCAAAAACTGCTATATTAGCAGGCAACAAAAATATTAAATTTTTTGACACTAAAGAATCATATAACGGAAGAGTAACCTCCACCAAAACAGAGATTAAACAGCAACCCTTCTTCTTTACAAATGTCTATGCCCCTCCTTCATGTGAAGAGAGATGTACTTTTCTCCAAAATTGGACCCTGCAAAGTACAGAAGAGCACATATATATAATAGGGGGCGACTTTAATACAAACTTGGACCCACATAAGAATCGAATCAGTCAAGCAGCTATACAGTCTGATCAATCAAGAGCTAAACTAGAAGACCTTATAACCGAGTTTGTAGACACAGCTCTGTTTTCAAAAGAAAGTCAATTTCTCACTTTCTATCAGAATACACAAAACAACCA